CAAGGCAAGCATTATCCTAATTCCAAAACCTGATTAAGATACTACAAAGACAGAAAATAATAGGCCAATATCCATAATGAACATGGACACTAAAATCCTCAACAAAATATTAGCTAACTGAATACAGCAATGCATTAAAAAGATCATACACCATGATCAAGTGGGATTTATTCTGGGAATTCAAGTTTGGTACAACATTCACAAATCAATAATTGTAATTCACCACCTAAACAAAATGAAGGATAAAAACCACATGAACATATTAGTTGGTGCAGAAAAAGCATTTCATTAACTCCAGTACCTATGTATGATAAAAACTCTTAGCAAAGTGGGATCAAACAGAGCATATCTAAACATAATAAAGGCCGTATAAACTCACTGCCAGTATCATACTCAACAGGCAAAAATTACAAGATTCTCCTTAAGATCAGGAACAAGACAGGGATGTCCACTTTCACCTTTCTTATTCAGCATAGTACTAAAAGTCCTAGCCACAGCAATCAGACAAGAAGAAGAAATAAAAGGCATCCAAACTAGAAAGGAAGAAGTAAAACTGCCATTATTTGCAGATGACATGATATTGTATGTAGAGAACACCAAAGATTCCACCAAGAAACTACTAGAACTGATAAAAGAATTCAGCAAAGTAGCAGGATACAAAATATCCAGAATTCAGTTGCATTTTTATATGCCAATAACAGAGTAATAGGGAAATAAAACAATCCCATTCACAATTGCTACATAAAGAATAAAATACCAAGGAATAAACTTAATCAAGGTTGTAAAAGACCTGTACTCAGAAAATTATAAGACACTGGTAAGAGAAATTAAAACACATACAAAGAAGTGGGAGCACATACTGTGTTCATGGATAGGAAGAATTAAAATGTGCATACTATCAAAGCAATCTATAGATTCAACACAACTGCTATCAAGATTCCAATGACATATTTCACAGAACTAGAACAAATACAGGCTCCAGCAGAAGTAACTCCTGCTTGAGTGTGGTTGGTAGGGTAATAATACATAGTTGTAACTTGAACATTTCACCTAAAATGTCATATGGTGTGCTTGAATGTGATAATGTTATCTTACAGAATTACATGCTGCTTATTTTGTAATAAAATATTTTGTAATAAGGCAGTGCCACTTGTGCTGGGCCCTGTATTTTAAAAATTTATATGGAACCACAAAAGGCCCCACATAGCAACAGTGATCTTGAGAAAGAACAACAAAATTGCAGGAATCATGCTACCTAATATCAAATTATACAATAAGGCCATAGTAATCGAAAAAGCATGGTACTGGCATAAAAACAGACACATAGGTCAATGGAACAGAATAGAGGACCAGAACTAAACCCACACCTTTATAGTCAATTAATATTAGACAGAGGAAGCAAGCACATACTATGGGCTAAAGATACTCCACTCAATAAACGGTGTTGGGAAAACTGGACAGATGCATGCTGAAAAATGAAACTAGACCACCTTCTTACACCACACTCAAGAATAAATTCAAAATGGATCAAAGACTTAAATCTTAGACCCAAAACCATAAAAATCATAGAAGAAAACACAGGCAGAAAAATCTTGGTCATTGCTTATAGCAATATTTTATCGGATATACCTCCCCAAGCAAGGAAAACTAAAGAAAAAATAAACAAATGGGACTATATCAAACTAAAAAGTTTTTGCACTAAAAAGAAAATCATCAACAAAATAAAAAGACAACCCACAGGATAGGAGAACAAATTTGCCGATATATCTGATAAGGGGTTAATATCCAAAACTTATCAAGAACTTAAAAAATTCAACACTGAAAAAAACAATCTCAATTAAAAAATGGGCAAAGGACCCAAAATGACATTTCCCCAAGGAGGACATATAGATGGCCATTAGACATATGAAAAGATGCTCAACATCGCTAATCATCAGAGAAATGCCAATTAAAACCACAATGAGATATCATCTCACACCTGTCAGGATGGCTATCATCAATAAATCAACAAACAGCAAGTGCTGGCAAGGATGTGGAGAAAGAGGAACCCTTTTGCACTGTTGTAGGAATGCAGATTGGTGCAGCCACTGTGGAAAGCAGTATACAGAGACCTGGAAATATTAAAAATGGATCTGCCTTTTGACCCAGTGATCCCACCTCCAGGAATATATCTGAAGAAAACCAAAACACTAATTTGAAAGCACATAAGCACCCCTATGGTTATTGCAGCATTATTTATAATCACCAAGGTATGGAAGCAGCCCAAGCGTCCATCAGTAAATGAGTGGATAAATCAACTATGGGACATTTACACAATGGACTACTACTTGGCCATAAGAGAGAAGATCCCTTTGTGACAGTATGGATGGACCTGGAGAACATTATGCTAAGTGGTTGGCATAGCAGTGCATTCCTGGAAAATTCAGTGTATATTATAACCTAGCCAAAATACCACTTATGTTATTCTTTCCTGAGCTGCTTGAGCCAATGTTTATTTTTATTTATTTCTTAGAAAGGCTTTTAAGGCAACACATTTTCCTGAATTCAGTTTTAGTCATATTCCATAGATTCTGATAGTTTTGTTATTTTCTGAACAGTCTGCAATTTTATGTATATCTCCTCAATGACCAGGATTTATAAAATTTTTTTAAATTTCTAGAAGCTCTTTTGTTTTTGTTATTCTTTTTTAATTGTATTGGACTTTGGCTATAAAATGCAACAAAGTATTTAACTATTTCAGGATTTAATGAGTGTATCATGATGCCCTAAGGTAGGATTTTTCTGGTAAACACTCAGTGGGGGCTCTTGAACAGAAGGTATAATCTGTTGTGCAGGACACAGCATTTTTTCTTTCTCAATTACAGTTGACATGCAGTATCATATTAATTTAGTGATTGACATTTATATGAAGTGATGACCCCACAAGTCCAGTCCTCACCTGACACCACACACAGCGATCACAGTATCATTGACTCTATTCCCTGTGCTGTACTTACACCCCCATGACTGTTTTCATAACAGCCGATTTGTACTTCTCAATCCCTTCACCTTTTTCACTCAGGCCCCCTCTACCCATCCCATCAGGCAACCATCGATTGTTCTCTGTATCCATGACTCTGTTTCTGTTTTGTTCGTGCATTTATGTTGTTTTTTTAGATTCCACATGTAAAGTGAAATCATATGGTATTTATCCTTCTCTGACTTGTTTACTTAGTGTAATACTCTCTAGGTCCATCCGTGTTGTCACAACCAGCAAGGTTTTCTTCTTTTCCATGACTTTCATTGTATACGTGTACCACGTCTTTCTCAATTTGTCACTCGATGGATGCTCAGCTCAATCACTGTCAAGAGGGAATTGTCATATTGACTTAGACAATCATGATTCATCACTAGGACTGGGACTCAGGTAGACTAAACAGAAAATTGTATATTCTGCTATAGGGTTTGTGTGCTTCTGGTAATTGCGACCGTTTGAAGATTAACCCACTCATACAGGCACAGATACATCAAGCTCTGTCTAATTAAAGCAACGGTGTTCTGAGAAATCTCTTCGTAAACTACAGATGAAGGAAAAAAGATTACCAAGTCTCACCTGTTTCCAACTTTGGCTCAGGTTCTAGCAACACTAGGACGCGCAATGCAGTGGAAACAGCATGGAGTCGGAGGAAGCCAGACGCGATCCAAACCCAGATCCCACCACTCGTCACCTGTGTCACCGTGGACAAGGTGTTTAAGCCCCTCCCCTCAGTTTTTCCAACTGTAAAAGAAGATACCTTCCATGTAAGGTAGCTGTGATGATTAAATGAGCTAGTGTATGGAAATCATACAGATGTGTGATATTTAATAACTACAATTTGTTCTTCCAGTGATTAGGCCTGTGTAGATATATGTATATAAGGTAAATGTTATAAAAGAAACATATTTCCATCCCTGCCAGTTAAGTAACTGAGCAACCATTTGGAAAGGAAAGGTGGTAGCAGAAGAAAGGGCAGTAATACAATTAAGAGATGTTTCTTTCAAATTGATATCAATTATACGGCATACCAGAGACCAAAAATAAAAATTGGATCACTTTCCTATGGAGGGTTACCTAATTATTTCCTGATGTAATACTTAGAAGTAATGGAATTTTTTTAAATAGTAAAGCTTATAATAGAAATTATTTGTTAGGAAGCTTCCAGTGAATTCACTAATAGGGAGATTGTTTATATAGGGTAATTAGAATATTTATATAGCTATTTTTAAATTGTGTGATGTGAGAATGATCACTATAAAACAGGAGCTCACAGTTAGCGAATACTTCTAACCCAGATTTGGTTCCAGTACTTCACATGGATCAGTTCTTTCATCTCATGCCCACAACAATCCCATGTGGTAAGCACTATTATTGTCTCCATTTTTCTAATGAGAAAATGAGGACCAGAGAGATTAAATGACTTTCTCAAGGTTGCAAAGCTGTAATAAGCAAAAACTCAACAATCCGCCCTTTACTGCTACACTTTTAAGCTTTCAGTGGAAGCAGAGCTGGTACTAATTGGCTCAACTACTGAAGCAAAGCCAATACCAATTAGCTTGTCTTTGTAAGCAGGTAGCAGTTTGTCCTCACATGCACAGTGGAAAAAGTTTAGCTTTGCCCACAGGGAAGAGTGGGGGAGGGGTGTTGCCATCATGGATGGGCTGGGATCTTGCATACCACTGCATTCCTCCACGTCTCTAAATAGCTCTACTGTATGGGTAAGACTAGTGAATCCCATCTCCCAACAACCTTGATGAAGCCAACAGATGTTTGAAACAAGTATGAAATTTAATTTTAGACCTAGCAAGTTCAAATAAATCACTCACCATCAGTAAACAGAATTTGTTCCTCCATGGGAAACAGTGTAATCTCTCCAAGTGAAAAAAAAAATTTTTTTTCAAGAACATACACACATAACTTGAAGGTACTTTATTAAGATTAAAGGTTTTCCATAACATTTATTTATAAATCCTTACTAGTCAAAAGGAAAATAAATAGTAAATATATGTATCTTCAGGAAGCTTTTAACAACATAGTTTTGTAAATCTGAGAAGTTTCCACGTTCATCAGTTTTAAATTATTACCATTTAGATACATTCAACCATTATGCTATACCAGAAATGTCAGCCTAAAAGAATCAAGAACATCTATATTGGTAGGTAAAATAATAGCAAAAAACTGTATTTCAATTCCACATTTTTATTTTTAACCAACTCTTCATTTGTTGACCATGGGAATGTAGAATTTTCTTCATCTTGGATTTTAAATATACAGACTTAAAAAAACTAAACATTCCTCTTCTCTCAACAGTGGCTGACACTCTGTCTTGGGAGCAGCTACTCAAAGAACTAGCGCAGTGAGGCGCACAGCACGAGCATCCTTGCTGCGGGGGACCGGGGGTGCAGAAGGTGCAGAATCAAGCGCCTTCTGTCCCAGTTAAATCAACCAGCCTTGGAGTTGGCCTTGCCTTTTTAAATTATAACCAGATCTCTTTGTAAGCATCAAAATGGCCATGTAAACATCACCTGCCAGACCATGTACACTACCTGATAAAGGATTCCTCAAAGTGCCCCCTTTCATTACTTTCAAGGTTATTTTTCAGCTCTAGTCTAAAAGGGAGAAAGGTCTGGGCAGTTGTATTTTTATAACACCTTCTTCGATCACCAGAAAAAAAGGGCTGGGCCTCCACCCCCTTACACTATCTCTACCCCCACAGTAAAGAACTGAGGCAGTTATCTGCAAATAAGAAAAACCCATGTAGATATTTCAGAAGAAATAATTTGGATTGCCGAGTCATTCATGTGATTGCCTAAATTATTACACACTTCCCATTACTCTTTGTGTAGGAAATCTTGCTTTTAAGGATATTTTTGTCAATAGTCAACCAAGTAAGGCTTGTATTTTCTTAGACTAGCCACACAACTTTAAGTATGGCTTTAGTATCAGCTTTGGCAATCCCATCCCCTTTCTTTAAAAAACTATATTGAACTATATTGTTTGCTTACTATTTAGTTAATAAACATAGAAATCATTGTTTGGATTATGTTGTTAAGTAAACATTTAGTCTGATTATCTAAATATTTTGGTGTATGTATCAAAGTCATTACAGTAGTTTTTGTCTCTCCTTCTAATATGAAATTTGACATGTCTCAAGAAAACCCAGTGGCCAATGCTACCAAATGTGCAGTGCATATATAACACACTAATGGGTCTATCTGTGTAAGAATAAAGGTCAAGTATTTACATGGAATGCTGACCCTGACTTATAAAACACTATTTTCAGTTATGTCATCTATACATATAATTTATTTTACGAATAGCCCCATTTAATAATTAAAAAAATATGCCTTTCAAATAGTTCATAAATATATAAAATTCACTACACTCTATTTTTCTTAAACATGACACCTAAACTTTACAAATCAACAAAAATATCTTTTCCTATCTGAAAGTCACAGATGCAAAGGTTTTTTGATTGGTAGGATCTTATTTATTGCATGCAAGAATGGCAAGACACATTCTCCTATAACTTACGGACATTTCTATTATTTTGAGCTATGTAATTTACTTGCTGAAGATCAGCAGTATCAAAGGAAAATGAGAGATCTCATCTAAATATTTACATTATAAAAGCCTTTCTTAAACGTCTTAAAAATGGCATGATTAGGATGGTCTGGCAAGTGTCAAGAATTATTTTGATGTTGAATAAATAAGTTAAAAACACATGGAAAGTTTCCAGAAATATGTCTTAGTACAATTTAAATATATGGTGATAAATTGTATATATTTGAACATTTTTCTTTAATTGTATCTTCTTTAACTATATTTCCTATTCTTTTAGAATAGGAATCACATTTCTATAATTTATTAGGAAAATCCAAAGCCAGAAATATTATCTAAGGCTATACAAATAAAAATGCCCTTTGTAATCATTTCTTGCCCCATGATATCAACATTTTAAGATTAACGCTGTAAGGAAAATTTTTAGTTACATATATAATAAATGTTCAGTCTGTTTTCCCTTACTAAATATTTGTTGAGTTGCTGATATGTATTCCCAAGGCCTTCTCAAGCTACAACATGAAGGCAACTAAGGCAGGATTTCAATAATTCCTTTAAGAATGATTTTTCAATGCACACGCTGTGAACATAATGTATAGGTCTTCGAATTACAACATAAGTTTCATTATAACATTGATAAGATGTGTTAAAAACTTAACTCCTGTTTATATTAATTAGCCTATGGTAAAATTGATTACCTTATATGTCCTTAAATATCCACTATGGATTTTAAGTGAGGACTTCCTGTACTGTATGTACATAACAAAAAGGTTGCACTTTTTAGAATAGAAAGAAGATGCCCATGATGATCCACCTAAAAAACAGCAAAGCTGTCCTGTCTGCCTGGGGCTGCTCAAGGCTGCTAAGTTAATTCTTTTAAAAAAAAATTAAAATTTATTTACTGATTTTGAAAGAGAGAGAAGGGAGGAAGGGAAGGGGAGAAGAAGGGGGAGAAGGGAGGGGTGAGAGAGGGAGGGGGAGGGGAAGAGAGAGAGAGAGAGAGAGAGAGAGAGAGAGCGAGAGAAACATCGATTTATTGTTCCACTTACTGATTCCTTCATTGGTTGATTCTTTGTATGTGCCCTGACCAGGGATCAAACCAGCAACCCTGGCATATAGAGATGATGCTCTAACCAACTGAGAAAACCAGCCAATTCCCTAAGTTAATTCTTTCAACTGCTAACATGTAGACTTGATGGCAGTGACCATGTCTGAGACTGGCTGAAGCACTGAACTCTAATATTTATTCTCCAGCCATGTCTCTCTAAAAAGTTCAACCTCATCTTGGAGAAAGAGCTATATATTAAAGACATACATAAAGTCCAAAGCTTTGCTCGGAATACAGTACTGTGCAAATTTCAATTTTGGATCTTACACTCAAAAACTGTGCTTGAAATAAGGCTATAAAAAAAGATGCAAACAAAACCAACATTCAGTTTTAACCACGACTGCACATCTATGACAGTGATACAGATTTTTTTTAAAAAACCCTACCACCAAAATGGTAACTGACTTAATCATATACTGTACAAAAAAAAGATGATTATGGAAATTTCTCTTCGTTATGAATGCAACCAGCTCACTGGGACCCAATGAGTCTCTGTCTCTAATTTGTCAAAAGTTGTTTTTAGCTCTTTGAATGCCGTGGTGAGATCATCATTTACTATAGTTTTGTCAAAGAGATGACCATATTGATTTTCCATTATCTGTGCTGATTTAATCATTTCTTGAAAGTCTTCTTCCTACAAAAGGGAGTATTTTTTTAAAGTGATTAACCAGGCAATTATATCACTTCACATCAGAGCAAACATTCCATCACTGGTTTATCTAATGCTGTTCTGTATCCATTCTTTTACCTCAGCCAGAAATGAAAATCACCCTCTTTAATTACAAGTTCTTCCAGAAGCCATAATTCCTAGTACTACTCCTCTGATGTGCTTGTAACTGAACTGCTCTGACAAAAGTCAAAACTTCCATCTTACCTGGAGTTCAGGATAATCGGTCGCTAACTTACCATTATAGGGCTATCTCAGGGTTAAAATAGCTACGGGGGAGGGTTGGGAAGAGCCATTTACTCTGATGCTGCATTATTTATGCTTATTCACAGCAAGGAATTTATAACTACTTTTTCAGAACTGGATACATTTATAAAAGGACAGTTATCAAGTCCTTCCTGTGTTTCACTGAAAGTGAGTAAGATGCCCTTCATACTCACATTTTTGAGCCAGGAAATATTTTAGTTGATTATATAACTCGACTATATAGCCATATATAAACGTGAGTTAAATCCTAAAACTATATTATCATTTATTATCTCCACTGAGAAACCTTTACATTTATAAATAGTACAAGAACTCTTTACATTACAACATACTGAAGTAATTTCAAGTCCACATTTCAATGTCACAGGATATTTCACAACAGAAAATTTAACTAACATCATATGACAATACCTATTTAGCATGGATATGTACTGCCGGTATTTTAGAAAAAAGACACAACAAATATTGGGAATCAAAAGTATAATCTGTATTTTTGTAAACAGATTTAATAGTGTAACAACACACTGAGGTTAAAGATGAGTTAATTAAGAGAGTAAGGGGGGAAAAAGCTCTTGACATTTAATTTCTTTGCTTTTTATTTTTGGTCCTAATGTAGAATACATTATCATATAATAAGAAACGATGAAATGAAAGGCCTCGTTGGAAATCACTGTAATAATTAACATACCACAGTTGCTATAGAAAATGTAAATATTATTGAATAATCACGAGTCTACTTGCTCTATACCCAAAATGATACTTTTTCCTTTATTATGCTAAATACTGTTGATGCAAAAAGACAAAATAGTTAAATTATTGAAATTTTCACCTAGACTATTAATGATAAATAGCAACTAACTTTGGTTTTTTTTCCCTGTAAAAATAAGGGAAGTCTGAAAACTAAGTGGTCTAACTTTTATATCAATGGCCTACAAAAATTTTTTAAGTATGCAAAATAGTTTTAAGTCAATATAATATGAAGATCCATCCATGGAAGCACAAAAAGCAATTATACTACAATCACTCAAAATGTATGTATCCAAATACAATTCTATACTATAGATTTTGGATCACTTCATCTATTATAGTCTTCCTAAGGTAGTTGCTACTGCATATATAATTTTATGTCCTGCTTATGTATTTTCATTAAAGCATCATCATACTTACTGTAAAGGGCTTTGCAGCACCCTGGTCATCTCTGCTGGAAATAATCTTTGCATTTTTTCTCGTCTCCCTCAAACGCTCTATTGATGGAGGCTTTATAAATATGACATAGGGCTTAAATTCTAGTGTCCTTAAATGCTTCACTGTCTGCAAGGAAGAAAATAAGGTTCTTATATTTATCCCTAAGGTCATGAGCAACTTTTACTATACAATGAACTTTTCTTCCCAAGGAGAAAATTTCTTATTTTCTTATCAAGGTCTGTTGATCTTTCAATATATCGTTCAATCAGTTGTTGACAATTAAATGTAATAAATCTCCCTGAAAAGATGATGAAGAATGTAACTTGCCTTCAAAAATGTTTTGAAATATGCCATAATTAATACTGAACCAAAACAGCTAGAAATGCCATGAAGCTGATTTTTAAATCAAATACTCAAAAGATGCTATAAATTGGATAATCTTCTGTACATGAAAGTCTTTCAACAATCCCATGTAAGTCTCTTCCTGATTTCAGGCATGAGTTCTCTTCCTCTTCCCTTCCGCCCTTCAGAGTGCCCTGAAAGGGCAAGCCTCCTGCTCTCCATGAAGCCTGTCAATGCTCCTCCAGCCACTATTTTTTTATTTTTACACTATGTTTCTGGGGACTCATCTGTAATCAAGGGCTGCTGATAGAAGAATGAGAGTTGAGACACCTTGAGAATACGAATATAAATCCCCGGAAAGGTTAGGCAGATGCGTTAAGGGGTGTGCATGTTTATAGCGGGTTGAGGGACAGGAGACAGAGGGGCTGGTGAGGCCCTGAGAATGCCCCCCCAAAGGGAGCATTCCCCACCAAGGGAGTTGAGAACAATGAGCCCCAGGACACCAGCAGAGAGGCTCTGCTCAAGCAAGTGTGTGCCCCACTCATCGCTGGTGACTAAGTTAAGAGTCAGCCACCCTACTGACTCTTGTTTGAGGTACACAGCTTCTCCAGGTCATTCTAGCTCTTGGAGGTTTGCACCCGGGGGTGCGCCATCCCTAGTGTGAGAATCTGGCCCCTAGGAAATGAGGAAAACGCTGTGGGTCAGGTTTCTGCTGGAGACTCTCTGGTATTACAGGAACTGAGTGGCTTTATCCACCGGCACTCTCAGTACACAGCATTTATAAGACTTCTCAGGATGCAAAGCGGGTCATGCTGTAAAATTCCTGTGAAATGCCGCACTGCTCTAGTTACATGCACAAAACCAAAATCTAGGATATATACAGAACCAAAATCAAAGAAAGAGGACTGAGAACCAAACTGTCCCTTGTTTAGAATTTTAAAAAAACATGATAACATGTAAGAATCCATTATACATATAATGTAACATTTTTAAAAATATGAAACATATAAAAGAAAATCTTAAGAGTCATACTTGGCAAAAACTGAATATAAACAAGACTTTCACACACATACATCTCGAGGCTTCCCCTACTCCTCTTTTCTAAGAATATTATGGACCTTTTGTCCACCAAAGACATCTCAGATTAATTGAAATGCTTTTGTCATCTTAGCACAGGCACATAGATGCCCAACATGAGTAGACTTCACATTTATCCCATAATGAGAGGCTGACATAAAGCGCAATGGATTACACGAGCCAAAAGGGTGTTAAATAGTCCATTGTTTACTTACATGAGGTTGAACATCCAACAAACAGACTTTGTTTTTAGCTAAGACAGACCGAACTGAGTCTATACTTGTGCCATAGTAGTTGTTTTTATATTCACCATATTCAATAAACCTGTAGAAAATTAGAAATGTATTAGAATCATTTATGAATTAAATATATATAGGTAGCAAGACATAATTCATATATAAAAGATATTTTTGCTGAACATGAACATTTTTTACTGTGTTTAATAAAATAAATAGAGCCAAGTACTCCAGAATGTCAATTAAAAAAATCTTAATTTACATTTTCAAATCAGTAACACTTGCTTGTATTACACTTAAGCAGAAAAAAGGACTTTAGTCCAGCCGTACGCTAATGTTTTCCATCACCTCTTTTTCAGAACTAATGCAATGCAATAAAATAGTGAATAAGGCAAACAATAGAAACTACTGAAATTTCACTGCACTCTACAGAATAACCGAGCTCAGCTTTAGAACTAAGGAGGAACTAGTTGGTGGCTAATGGAACCAGGGCAGCCGATTATGTGCTATAAAAACATAATTGCTGTGCCAAACACGAAAAAAGCATTTTGATGTTTCAGTAAAATTCCACAATCCTGCATTAAAACACACATTGCTCCCTAATACTCTAAAATATACATGCTTAAGCAAATGGAAGACCTGGGGAGAGGGGATGTAGGACTAGCTAAAGGATATGATACTAGCAAAGATGATTAACACTATTGCAACTTTTTGAAAAGCCAGAGAGAGAGAGAGAGAGAGAGAGAGAGGGAGGTGTGTGGCTCTACTACATATTTGCTGTTTTTTTAAAATAAAATTCTATCTAAAATATATATTAAAATTTAAATAGTGGGGAAAGGATCACAATCAGATACTCGCAAGTACTAACTCAGTTATCACCTTTTTATTGGTTTCAAATATTAGAAATATTAAAACACATTTCAAATGGAGGGGAATTCTCAGTTGTCTAAAACTGGATATACAGGCATACACTTAAAAACAAGTCATACAAAATTATAAAGTAAGTTCTACTTACTTGTTATTTTGTACATCTGTCTCAAACAAATGCTTGGAAATGAAAATATATTCAACACCATCAATCTCCTGGCTTCTTCTTGCTCTGGTAGTGTCTATGATTTAATTAAAAAGGGTTTAAGAGAAGTCTACATCAATCACCCTAAGGAAAATACTAAAAAAAGAAATCATCCTGTATTTAATTAAAGTATTTTTCTTAAATAAGATTTTAAAACATATAAGAAAGCAAATTAGTTAACAAACTATAGTAAAATTTCATTTGGATTTATCACTAATATTAAAATCATACTGATTTGAAGGTGGGTTCAAAATTAAATTGCATTATGCCTGTGCTATTAGTTTTTGAAGGTACTCTTACATTGATTAAATAAAAATGGTATTCCTTTCAAATAATATACTTATTATTGTTAATTACTGGTCTTTATTCATTAAAGCAAGTCTAATGCCCACTAGGTTGCTAAGGTAAACTCAAATTATTTTACTATCTTCCACACCCATCACATAGTATATTCCATCAATGTTTTATATTACTAACTGAAGAAAGTCATAGCCTTCTATGTGTTCTTCATTCCTTCTTTGCAAAATTATAAGTATCTTCTTGGAATACTACTGAACTTCCAAACTTTCAATAATTTTGCCTAATTATTTCATACTGAATTATAATAGAGCAGAAAAATACAGGATTAACTTCAAAAACAAACAAACAAAAAACCCTCTAAGGAGCTGCAGTGCCAACATGGCAAGTGAAAAACCAACTACAGTCCATAATTCCTGATGATTACAACTAAAATCTCTGGACCCAAAACAACTACCTAAATACTCTGAAAATAGATAAAGAAGGTAGACTGGGAGGAGAGTCAACATAAATGAGCAAGAGTTTAACCTTTATTTCTTCTTAGTTTTGCCCTCAGGGTGAGATCATTCACGGACTTCATGGCAGGAAATGTGTCACTAGTTTTTAATAGAAACTCTGACTTTTTGGTTAAAAGAACCAGGAGAAAAAAGCTCCTGTGAGTTGAAGAATGTGGAGGGAATCCATGAAGGAAGAAAGCTGGAGAAGGATATCTAATTCTGTGTATCAACCCACACTAGTTTAAGAATAATCCCTGAGCTATACCCATGCAGTTCAGACTCCAACCAGCAGAGCAAAGTTTTAGGAAGTGAACTGAGAGTAGAATATACAAGTATCAGCCTCACCTATGAATAACAAAAGTACAGAACACACCCAAACCAATGTAGAAAAGGCTTACAGAACTGAGCTGAGAGTTGAACTACATGCACAAGTTTCAGATTAATCCCTGAACTAAAGGTGACAAAGAAGACTCAAACCAACAAAGCAAAAGTTTAGAAAACTGAAGTGACATTGAAACCACAACTCATAAAAAATGACAGAAGTTGTGGTCTGCACTAGCAATCTTCGACTGGTGTACAGCAGCAGGCACACTGGTGAGCCACAGAATTTTTTAAATATTTAACACCTGACCATTTAGTCAGGGGCACTGACCTCTTTTCCCTTAGACTGTCAAAATAAAAAAGTGACAGCAGCCAAAACAACAAAAGCTGACCAGTGGCAATGAATCAAAACTATACCTATTTTTTTGTCAGATCAGTAAAACAATATGATTTTTTGGTGTGCCTTATAATCTTAGTAATTAGTTTATGTGTGCCATGAGATTGAAAATCCCTGGTCTGAACATAAACTGGTTGATTATTTGCTAAAAGGAAACACTGTCCATAATATTGTAACATGATCTAGAGTTATAGATACAACATTGAATTTATAACATCAAGAATGCAATTTGAAATTATTCAACATTTAAAAACCAAGAAAATATGACCAGTTCTCAAGGTGAGAGGTAATAGATGGCAACCCTGAAAGATCCAGAATTAAGAACTATCAGACAAAAACTTTAAACAATGATTATAATAACTGTGCTTCATTAGGTAAACACACCTGAAATTTAAAAAAAAAAAAGCAGAGAAATAAAAATGACAGGAAGAACAAAGTGAAAATTTTAGAACCGAAAAAGACAATATCTAACAGAAGCAAAGCATTAGATGGGCTCATACCAGAATCGAGATGACAGAGAAGAGCCAGTGAACTTGAAAACAGATCAATAGAAATTATAAAATCTGAGCAGCAAAGAGAAAAAAATTTAAAAAATACAAATAGAGCCCCAAATAGAGACCTGTGTGAAAATATTGAGATGTCTAACATATGTGTAATTGGGATGCGAAAAGGAGAACAAAAAAAACATACAAGCAATAAATGTACTTTAAGAAATAATGTCTAAAACTGCTAAAATCTGGTTAAAGAACAATTTTTATAAATTTCAGAAGCTCAACAAATCCCAAACAGGATAAATTCAAAGAAATAAATTCAAAGAAAATAATGCCTAGACATAAGCATAACCAAACTGCTAAAAGCCAAACAAACAAACAAACAAACAAAAAAACTTGAAAGCATGTAGAAAAAAACTAACAATACACACATGGGAGTAGTGATTTCAGTGAGTACATATTTCTTATAAGTTATAAAAACAAGAAATCATTGAAATAATATCTGTAAAATATTGAAAGAAAAGAGCTATCAACCAAAATATCTTTCAGGAATAAAGGCAAAACACTTTCTCAGATGAAGAGAAACTAATAGAATTCACCACCAGCATATTTGCTCTAAAAAAAAATCTGCAGAAGCCTTTTTAAACTTTCAGGGATGAAGAAAGAGCAATAAAAGGAATAACTACTGGAAGTTGAAAAAGTACAGATTACTTTCTTCCTCTTAAGTTCTTTAAAATATGTATGACTGATTTAAAGTAAAAGTTACAGTATGATGGAGTTTTCAATGTATGCAAATATAATACATTTGACAACTACCACAAAAAGATAGGAGTGGGAGTAAAGGGACTTATGATTGCAAAGTTTCTATATTTTATGTGAAAAGGCAAAAAGATAACTCTAAGTAGACTGTAAATAGGTGTATGCATACTGCAATCCCTAGAGCAACCAGTAGAAAAGTAATAAATGGACTACTAAAAAGCATTCAAATAAAAAAAAATGGTAGAAGGGAAGAAAAAGAAAACAAAAGATGGGATAAATAGAAAACAAATAGTAAAATAGTAGCTTAAATTCAGTCATTGCCATAATTCAGTAAATATTAATGGTCTACATATACTCCAGTTAAAAGGCAGAGAAATAAAATGGGTAAAAAAGGAAGACCTTAGTACATGCTGGGTATAAGTCTACCAGAAAGACACATTAAATATAGACACAGAACTGTTGAAAGCAAACAGACAGAAGACAATATACAGTATGTTCTCATTTAATGTCATTGATAGGTTCTATGACTTCAAGAAAAATGACATATAACAAAGCCAATTTTACCATGAGCTAATTGGTAAAGTAAGAGTTAAATTACTAAGCCATCTCATCAATGTTATAACTAAACTATTTGAACAAAGTGACATTATTCAAGGACCTGCTGTACCATGTAAACAGTAAGCTTAAGAAGGATGCAGTGGCTACTTTATTATAAGATAAAAGAGACTTCAAGACAAAGAGTATTACCAGAGATAAAGAGAAACATTTCATAATGACAAAAAGGAAATATATAACAATTATAAATTTGTATACACATAATAAATCTTTAAAATACAAAGCAAAATCTGGCTGATCTAAATGGAGAAACAAACAAATTCCAATTCAGAACAGGACATTTTAATGCCTCTCTCTCAACAATGGATAGAAGTAGACAAAATGTCATAAGATACAGGTAATCTGAACATTACCAACCTCCTGGGGCTAATTAACATCTATATAACATCACATCCAAAAACTTCAGAACACACATTCTTTTCAAGTACACATGGTGCAAAAGATAGATCATATTTTGGATCATAAAAACTCTCAATACTTAAAAGAACCCAATGACAAAGAGTATATTTTCTAACTACAAAATAACTAAATGTAAAACCAAAAGCAGTAAGATATCTAGGAAAACCACTAATATCTAAAAATTAAAAAATTGATCCTCCAAAGATGAAATAACAAAGGAAGTGAGAAAATATTGTGATATTTTTACAATACAACCTGCCAAAATTGTGATATAAAGATAACATAGGTGTTTAATGGGAAATGTGTAGTTGTAAATACTTATTTTAGCAAAGAAGATCTAAAATCAATGACTGAAGGTTCATCTTAAAATTGCTAGAAACAAAAGAACAAAGTAAACCCAAAGCAAGTATAAGGAGAAAGTAATAACAAACAGAAATTAACAATATAGAAAGAAAAATAGGCACACTAAGGAAAACCAAACAACAAAATTTAAAAACCTAATTAAACTGGTCAAGAAACAAAGAGGGAACAAACGTAGCCAATATAAAGAATCAAAAAGAAGTTATTACCACAGACTCTATGGGTATTCAAAAGGTTAAGAGAGTATTATGTACTACCTTATGCCAACATATTTGACAATTTAGATGAAATGGATAAATTTCTTGAGAAATACAATGAATCAAAATTAAAACAAGAGACTAAATTTTTAAATAGGCCTGTATCTATTAGTTATATCAAATATATTTTTAAAAACCTTCCCCACCCTAACTGGTGTGGCTCAGTTGGTTAGGCGTTGTCCTGGAAAGCGACAGATCTCCAGTTCGTTTCCCAGTCAGGGCACATGCCTCGATTTAGGGTTCAGTCCTTGGCTGGAGCAGGTATGAGAAGCAATCGATTGATGTTTCTCTCTCACATTGATGTTTCTTTCCCTCTCTTTCTCCCTCCCTTCTCCTGTCTCTAAAAATAAATAAATAAAATCTTTAAAAAACACACACAAACTAACCTTCCCCAAAAGAAAACCCCAGGCCTAGATGATAATGATGATGTCTATCTACCATTCAAGGATGAAATATCATGATTCTTACATAAACATTTTTGGCAAATAAGAGGAAGAATCACTACTTAACTCATTTTATGATATTAGTACAGCTCTAATAATAAAATCTAACAAGGACATTAGGAAAGATTATAGACCAATATCCATCATAAATTTAGATGCAAAAGTCAACAAAAATATTAGAAGTCAAATTCAATAATATAT